ATTGTCGTTCCAAAATAAAGATTGCTTAAATCTTTATCAAAACCTAGCATTCCCTCCTCTTGTGCTTTAATTTCCTTGGGAATGTTCTAGTCAACGACAGCCTCCGCAGCCAGGACTTGCGATAGCGGACACTCCTATTGGCCACAACTCTGGGGAAGCAGCTGCCGTCCTCTGCCTCTGCACCCCGAACTCCTGTGTATGCAGGGCCCCAGTTCCCCAACATGCACACACCTAAGACTAGATTGTTCTTGGTTCATTCCGAAACTTTTCAATTTTGGCACAGCCTTGCAAAGGCTCATTTTTAATTCTTTAATTATGAAATGTATTCTAGAAATCTGGCAAGGAAATGAAGGGTTTGTTATTTCATAAAATAAGGAGCCATGTGTTACCTTTCTGTAAGAAACTACTCATTTATCAACCAAACACTATATAATAAAAGTTGCTAAAACCCTGATTTAAAAAAAAAAAAAAAACTATAGCACACCACCAAATCAAAGAACTGTAACTGCCAGCCCATATGCTTTCTTATTATTTTAAGCTGGAAGTGACCATGATACAGGAGCATACTCCTGATGCTCAGAACAACTGAGCTCTTCTGCTAACTTCATCCATCCATCCATCCTTTCATTCTTCCAGTCATTCAACAACTATTTATTAAGCACCTATCATGTGCCAGCACTGTTCTAGGTACTGGAGATTCATCAGTGAACAGAAAGACATAGTCATGATACAAAGGTATAGTGAGTTATGAGAGGTGAAGATTTAGACTTCAAACCAAAATAAAACTATTGTTTGTCAATGAGTCTCTGGATTTTCTTCCTCTGTCTTTCAGTAAGCCTTGTTTCCTCCCCTTGACGTCTGACACAATGAAACCTCACTGTGACCACTTCCTCTGCTGCGTTGTCCTTGATGCTCTGGTTACTTTCAGTACTGCATGAAACAAGTAACAACCCCAACGACAATGTCCCTGCCAAATCAAATAATAGTAACAACTAACATTTATTGAGCAATTACTGTATTCCAGACACTGAATTCTCACACTAATCCTAAAACATAGGTCTTTGATGGGCTGAATGCTTCCTGGCTGCAATGGTAGAGTCCTGAATTCTGTGGCTGACTCCAGCTCCCAAAATACCTCAGCTTTCTCATGGGCTCTTGGTGCTGACACCCTTTGCCTCTCTCTGCAGCTCGCTGTCAAGCAGGCTCCTTCTCTGCCGAATACAACATCAGCACACAATAAATATTGAATATGTGTGTAGACTGTTTACTATTCTAATCAAATAGAGCATCCATGAAGTTAATTTGGACCTATTTAATGAGACATGTAATTGTTATTGAATTGCGTGGTAATTAGATAAAGTTGTTCAAATAAATTCTGTAATCAGACCCAAATAATTATTTTATGCTTTCTACTCCCATTTTTTAATTTTGCAAGATCTACGATTTCCTGATATCATGTGCTATTTCTTCTCTCACTTCTTCCATTTCTTCAGAACACACTCACGTGAAACAAAATATGATAAGCTGAGATTGTGTTCCCCAGTGGCTTAAAGGCCACATTCCCTAGGGATGACATCTTTCTGGGCCTCTCTGGGCATACCACACCTACTTTCCTGATCCTCATCTCTGCCCAGATGCCCTGGAGGCTGAAGGGTTCAGAGACAGCAATAACCAGGCAAAGCTTGCTTTGAGAGGGCTGCAGATACATCACATGCTGGGGACCGGCAACACAGGGACCTCATCACAGCTGACAACAAGGCAGAGCTAAAAATGAACCCTGAATTTTCTGCATTTGAGATCTAGGAGTTTCAGAGCAAAAAGATTAGAGAAAACAGTTTAGGAATAAGAAAAAAGGAGATATTTTCCAGATAGTATGGTAAATCGATCAGCTTTTTAATATTCTTTTATTCCTGAACCTGTTCTTAACTGCAGCAAATATATGAAGAAAGTCACAAATTCACAAGGACAAAGAATGTGGAAGGAGACAATAGCTGATGAGCAAGGTTAATAATCTTCAGAGGTTAGAAAGCAGATGAAAGAACGATAATAGACTTGAGAAAGCTGCCACCTCAGCACCTGTGGCTAAGGACACCAGCAGGAATTGAGCCAACCCTCCCTCCTCGGAGCCCCAGAGGGGCTCAGCACAGGGCACTTCCAGGGCCCTTAAGGCAGGAATGAGGCACGTGCTTGAAACTGGGGACTGGTTGGACATCTGTACACTGACCTGATGACCTTCCCCAGGTCCCATCTCCCTTCCTGTGAATCCAGACAGCCACCCCTCCTCCTCACAACACAGACCAAGGTCTCCGGGAGAACGGAGAGGAAGTGGTCCATACAGAGACTCCCAGGTATGGTAGAGGGCAAGGGTGACGAGGAGAGCTGAGAACAGAAGAGCTGAGTGGAGAGTGGGACCCCAGCCTCTTCCCCAACTCTGCTTCCTGAGTGCCAGCACCCAGGAGACACACCCAGGCAGAAAATGGCTGAATTCTTCTTGAGAGAAAATGAATGGCTTCAGAGAAAAAAATAAAATAAAACCTACAATGTTGATGTTGGGGATTTTCACAACAAAAAGCTTGCTTATGGTCTGATTACCATACAGCAAAGCCCACCAGCACAAGTTGGCAAAAACTCTCTACCAAGCCAGAGCCTCCTATCGGTTTTTGGTGATTCACGATTCAATATTAATAGAGAGTCAAAGATCTCTAGGAATTTGAGGAAATGCTCTAGCAAAACACACAAAAATGGAGATACAAACAATTTGAAAAAAGGACCTCAGTTGAAAGAGACCATACAGAAAGTAGAAGAAAACATCCATGAAACCATAATGAATAGCCTTAGAGGGACAAGACAAGACATCATACCCATGAAACAGGAACAGTATGCTATCCTTTAGTAAAAGTATGAGAAATTTCAATATGAAAATAGAATTTTAACCCTTAATTTTAAACAATAAAGCAAAGTAAATCTCTTATAAAGGAGAACAAGAAGATGCAAACGATAGAAGGGGAAAATTAGAAAATTAGAGTATTAATTCAGAAGTGCCAACATCCAACTAACAAGAGTTACAGAAAGAAAAAAAAACACACAGAGAAAATGTTGGGAAAGCAATTATCAAAGAAGTAACACAAGAAAACGTCACAAAACTAAAGAACATAAGTTGCCAGATTGAAAGAGTCAGTCCAATGCCTGAAATAAAAGGTAAAAAAAAAAAAATTATCTATACCAAGATACAATTTGGCAAAACTTTGGAGCATCAGAGATAAAAAGATCCTAAAAGAAGTTTTCACAATAAAAAAAAAAGTCTCATAAAAGTGATAAGGAATTAGAATGTCACCTGACTTCTCAACAGCAGAAGTGGAAGCTATTTGACAATCTACTGAGGCCACTTTTTCTACCTTGGAGTGCCTCTCTTTCTCTCTCTCTCTCATCCTCTTCTCTAAGGAGCCATGTCACCCCAGGAGTTGTTGGCAGCTATTTTTTGACCAGGAAGAAAGTCAGATCAGAATGACATAAATGAAACTGACATCACAGAAGGCAGAAGGAGAAACAGAAAAAAAAGCAGGATCTTCGTGACATTGAGTTGCTTGATCGAGCCATCCCTGAATCCTCACCCCTCTCAACATTGCATTGTATGTGCCAGGTAGTTGCTTTCTGGCCATTTATGACCTAGCCTCAGAAATCACTAGCATCACTTTCATTGTATTTTATTTGCTGAAGCAGTCACAAGCCTGCCCAGATTCAAGTGGGAGAAATGTTGAACTAGCACCGACTCTCAGAGATGAAGTTTGTGAGTAGTAGACCTGGAAGCTCACTGCAGGCTTTCCTGATAGAGGATATGTGCCTACTGCAGCACACACCACTCCTAGCCTGCGGGCAAGGAGTGCAGGAGACCGTTTGTGCAGCAAGCATTTCCTGTGGGCAAGTGTTGCACATAATGAACCTGCGTTACTCTTAGGGTTAATACGAGGCAAACTCGTTTACAGTCGCTGCTGAAATCACCCACATTTTCTTAACCATGGACACTAAGCGTAGGGCTCACCTGTGGAGGGAATCTTTTTTTATGCCCCACAAAGGCGGTCATATCCCTTCATGAACCGCGCCTGTCTTCCTCCGCTCCCCAAACGCAGAGCACCTCTGGGGGCGCCCAGCTCGCACCGGCCCGCCGGTCACAGGGCCAGCGGCCACAGGCCCGCCAGGTCGCACGCCTTCCCCGCCCCATGTGCAGCCCGAGCCCGTGGAACCGGGCTGGCAGCTGACGGAGTCGATCCTCAAGCTGATGAGTGACCTTCGGGGTGACCTGTCAGCAAACATTGTCAGTTCAGGACAAAGGGAGCTCCTCGGACCCTTCATATCAAGCATGTTAGTGTTGCCATGCAGACACACACCACCTGAGACAGGCAGCAGCAGAGCGACACTAACAACCACAGTAGCGAGGGAGCAAATGCACATTACACAGCAGACGGAGGTGAGGAGAGCAGGAAGACCCGATGGAAGACTCGGAATCCTGCGGCAGGGGGCGGGGCGAGCGCGAGGCTGTGCCCGGGAGCAAGGGCGATCCAGGCCGCCCTCAGAGCCACTCGGACCGCGTCCCCTGGGTCGCCGGTCACGGGCTCGCGGCCAGACCCTCCGCAGCTCGCGGGCTGTGTGAGCGGAGGCCACTGAGCTTGCACCGCCTCGGGTCCGCAGCCCCTCCCCGGGGAGCCCCGCCCCGCGGCCCGCAGCCCCGCCCCCGCCCCGCCCCCAGGAGCCCCGCCCCACCCCGCCCCCGGGAGCCCACCCCGCCCCCGGGAGCCCAGCCCCGCCCCCGGGAGCCCCACGGCCCGCCCCCGCCCGCGGCCCCGCCCCGCCCCTCCCCGCCCCCCTCCCCCCCCCACGGCCCCGCCCCGCCCCACGGCCCCGCCCCGCCCCTCCCCGCCCCCTCCCCGCCCCACGGCCCGCCCCCGCCCCCGGGAGCCCCGCCCTAGCTCGGGCTCGGCTTGGGTCTCGGGGATCTCGCTTTCTTTCCTTCCGCATCGCCCAGGATCCCTCCAGGTCGTTAATCCCCATCACCCAGCTAAGAGAAGCTCCATTCCCTCTAGTCGAAAGTGTCTTCAGTAAAAGAACTAGAGAAAAAATATTTTTTAAATAAACTTTTTGCTGAGGCTGCTAGAGATTAAGAAAAAGGGGTTTTCAGACGAAATCGTGTTCCTGAAAAATAGTCTTCTGTCTGATTTCTCGTCATAAACGGCTCCTGCAGAGCGAGTTTTCTTTGAGGAGTTATTTACATCTTGTTTAAGGAAGAGGAATCGCCACGATTATCTGACTATAAATTAAAGGGCCTGCCTTTCTCTTGACCTTTCCGGATGTATGAGGCTGTGAACTCCCGAGTCCGACGCCGCGTGCCACACGGAAGAGCCGCTGGTCCCCGCGCTGTCACTCGTCCTCGTGTCTATCAGCCGTGGGCCGTTTTCTCTAACTGTCTCGAAGTGGAGGCAGCAACTCAGACACCGGGGAAAGTGGGGTGTTAGTTTCAATTAAGATAAATTCCTCAAATCGACTTTTGTGTAATGTACTTTTAAATTGTGCCTTCAGGACACAAAGGAGTGCTTGGATTTTCTGTGATGGGAACGTAAGGAAATTTGAATGTGCTAAAGTGGTAACTTTAATCAATTTTTCAATTAACAGTCATTCACTATGAAGATGATAAACTATACTTATAGTTTGTCTTATATCATCCTAATAAGCACTGTTTCAAAACTTACAAACTAAAGTTACTTCCTAATTGGTGGTACTTAAATTATTTCACGTAAAGTTTTGCACGGTTCTTTGTAATTCACTATTATTAAGACTTACACTTAGAACTGTTTCTTCTATTTAAGAGTTCAAACAACGTCCCGGCCTTTCTCAGCCCCAGCTCTGAAGACGCCTGTTAATTGCCTTTCTCTCCCTTGCTGGCAGCAAGGACTCCACCAGTCAAGTCTTCCCAATCGTTCTGCTGCTTGAAGACATACTTCATCCCCGTTCTTCCCCCGGAACATCATTATCCAAAGCGTTTTCTATATTTAATATATATTGTGCAAATTGTTTGTTTCTCTTTGAGGACTGGAGTCAGATTTTATTTCTTCTTATTTTGCTTTACTTTAATAGCCCCTAATGCCTAGCATGGTGGCTTGACCAAATTAGATGCTATACGTTTTCGTGGCATGAAGGAAGAAATGTTTGTGTAGAACTGTTCATAATTTCTAATTCCCACCCACCGCTAGCCGATGGCACTCATTCCTGAGATGCCTAACTGGAATGCAGTTTATGGCCAAGAAAGGTTATTTTCACTGTGCGTCTGGCTCAAAGGAAGTCAAATTTATGATTTTGAATTTTAAGATCATGATCCAATAAGAAAGATTATCCATACTGGAAGTTGTCACAAAGAGACTGACCATCTTGAATTTAAAAGAAAATATCTAAAACTGTATCATGGATGTCAGTGGTACAGGAGAATGCTATCCTGTTAATTTTCTCAAAATAACTAAACAATCTCATGGATGTATCTTTTCTAGAAGATATTTCTCAAATTCTGAATCATTATGGGTTTGAAATTTTGAAATTTCATTTGATATTCACCAAGAAGACACTAAACAAAGTGACAAATTGAGTAAATACTTCAACTTACTTCTGCAGATTTTTTAAGGAAGCCTGATTACAAGGTTAGCGTTGTCTCAAAAAAATTCCATCCGATCTATGAGTTTCCCCGACTGCTTCCCTCTAAAAGTTGCTTCCCTTTCTCAGCCCAGGCTTATACAAAACCTGTAGATTGTGTGTCGTTTGTTCCAGTCCCTGATAATTAAAGTTTCAGCTTAAAGATAATAGTAGAGGTAGAATGGTGATCATCTATACATACTGAAATTGGGATGAAAATCAATCTTGAACTGTAATTCTCAAGACTCTGTCTATAGTCCTGAGCCATCACCTGAGTTCCAGAACCAAATCCTTACCTGCTTACTACACATTTCCACTCTACCCACCTCACGTTCATCATGCCCAAACGAGACTCTCCCTAAGATTAGCTCTCCATTTCCCTGTCTCTGTTAATGCCTCATCCTCAGTCAGAGCCACATATGGTGGTGGCTTTTGACCATGCCTTCTCATTTATCTTTTGATTTCTGTCACGTACGTAGTTCTATGGATCATCCTTCCCAAGGTCTCTTGTATTTACAGTCAACCTATGCTGTGTCGTTCCCATGTACCCAGCATCCTTTCCTTTGGGGAGCTATCCCTGTTCTATCTGAGGTGAGGCTGTGACGTGCAGTATCTGACCCCATCCTCCCTCAGAAACAAGCACAGGACCCAGGCCTGTCAAGTCAAGGGGATTTCAGCCTCTGGCAGGTGTTAATGGTCAAAGGGGCAGGTTTACACTCAAGTGGAGCCAATCAGAGTTCCTTTCTTAGAATTTATAATTAGACATAATAAATTCTCCACTAGGGTTGCTAGTCTAGGAGTAGGTGAATTTACAACTATTGGTAGGGATCTTCCAAGCTATATATAGGAAACCTACTTAGAGTAGAAAGAGAATGAGATTGAACCCAAGAAGGCCTCTGAGCCCATATGGAAAGGCAGAGTTTTGACAACATTGTTTGAGTCCCTGGAGCCAGCCATGCCTGAAGTCCACACCACCCCTGGAATTGCCAGTTAGATTAATCAAACTTCAAAATCCTGACTCATTCACTTTCTAACTAGGTGAACTTTGACAGACTACTTAGCTTTTCTGTGCCTCTCTTAACTCATCAATAAAATGGGAGATAATACCTATCTCACAGGGTTCTATGAGGATTAGCATAGTAAATGCTCAATAAGTGTTAACAATGACTATGAAGTGCCAGTGAATTCTGTTGTTGTTTGATCTAGTTTGAATTGGGGTCCTGTCACAATAGAAAGGGTGCTGATGACAGAGGTTGTTTCCTTAAACATATGCTTGGAACACATCCTTCTCCTGCCTTTCTATTATCGCCACCCCCATGAGATTCTGGAGCCATGCTCCAGCTGGCTTGTCTCACAACAGCTTACTCTCTATCATCCACCCTCATTACCAGGGCTAGAGCTACCTTCACTCCACATGACTGTCATCATGGAACTCCCCTGCTCCTATTTCTGTTCAGACTCCTATCTCTGGCTTCCCAGGTTCTACCTTAATTACCCAATCTGAATCGCTGCTCTCCCTAATATTCCAGTCGATCTGACATCCTACCTTTCACAAGGTCGTGCCTTGCTAATCCATGTCCCTCTGCCTTGCCATCACCTGTCCCATCATCTGTCATCACCTTCACCCATCCCAGATTTTCCCCTCTGGATAATCAGCTCCAGTCATGCAAATTCGGCCTCTTCTATGGTACCTTTGCCAACCATCATGGCTTTCACTGTTTTTACCCTCCATGAGATTCTGTGCCATTTTCAATTCTGAACTACAGGCTGCAACATGCAATTAGAAACAACTCTGTATTGTTTCAGCTGAGTAATTAATTCAACTACAAAGTGAATTCTTTAGGTTACTTTTTTTGCATGTCCCCTCAGTGTAAAGCACAGAACAGGCATCCAAATCATTATGTTTTTTTATAACACTAACCGTCCTGACTTTTTTGATTCTGCACTTTTAAGAGAATTTTTCTTCAAATTACTGCACTTACCTAATCTTGGTGCAAACACTGGATTCTGAGAGGCACATAAATCTTAAATGACAAAATAAGGGAATAAGGCAATTTTAAGGCAGTTACATGTTTTATTATGTAAACTCTATAATATTCCTTGTGGGAGCTGGTCTTCAGTTTGCTTCTTGCTTTCACAGAATGTCAAATATGTGTAGAAATTGTCTAAGAATGATTTATGAAACAAACACTCTTGCACTCCCACCAAAAAAAGCCTCAATGCCTATATTTTCCAACCAGATTCCTGAGAAAAATAATAGGTTATGTTTATTTTACAGTGTCATACATAAATTTTCTTTCAAGATATAAAAAGAACAGACTTCTAAAATATGAGTTCCTTTTTGTTTACAAAGTTCTATAAAAATACATCAAGTATGTTGATATGTTGCCCTTTGACTTAACATTTCCAGTTTACCAGAAACAAAAATTAATATTAAAGATATGAAAACCACATCAATCTTGCAGCAATATAATGTCAACATCATCGTGAACACCTTGCAAAAGCAGCTCTCCTGGGTACGTAACAATCTTCCTTCGTTTCGCAGCTTTGAGAGTTCCTACCAATGCTTCAAAAAGGTTGGCACATTTGTCATCTCGGAAGAGGACCCCAAATTTCACACTTAACTTCCCATCAGCATCTAATTTGAGAAAATATAATGTTAGCCAATGCAAAGTCTGTTTCTTGCCCCCATGTATGGCAGAGTTACATCATCTTTAATAAACATCTAACTATAGGTGAACCAAGATTACAATTGAACAGTCATAAATTCAATGTAACCTGTTGCCAGACCCAAAAAGTGATGGAATAAATATAATGTGTCATGTATCTCTTAGCCTTAATATAATCTGAAAGAAGAGTGGAAGAGAACCAAGAAATTTACAAAAAGTGAATGTGTTTCAGTGCTACTATTATGGACCAATTCCTCTCTAAGTTTTGATTTTTTTAATTGTTATGTTAGCTGTTGAATAAAAACAACAAATACAAGAGAAAGCCTGGGTCAAGAGCAGTGTTTCTCTACGTGTGTTCTGCATGCACTTAGAACCCCCAGGGAGGGAGTGGTGACCTTAACAATGAAGACATCTGTATTTACCAAGATCCCTAGGTTATCTAGTTTGGAGGCAAGTTTTTAATATAGATCTTAAAAACTGAGATAAACAATAAAAAGAAATGAGCTATCAAGCCATGAAAATGCATGAAGGAACCTTATATGCATACTACTAAGTGACAGAAGGCAAACTGAAAAAGCTACATGCTATATGATATATGATAACCATAGAATATTCTGGAAAAGGCAAAATTATGGAAAAAGATCAGTAGTTTTCAGTGGTTGGGGTGGGGAGAGAGATGAACAGACAGAGCACAGATTTTTAGGGCAGTGAAAATATTCTGTATGATGCTATAAAGGTGGACACGTCATTATACATTTGTGCAACACCAAGAGTGAACCGTAATGTGAACTGCGGACCTTGGTTGACGATGACGTGTCAGTGTAGTTCATCAGTTGTAACAAATGTCCCACTCTGGTGGGGAATGCTGATAGTGGGCGAGGCTGTGCATGCGTGGGGGCAGGGAGTTTATGGGAAATGTCTGTACCTTCCTTTCAATTTTATTGTAAATCTAAAACTGCTCTGAAAAAAGCAAAGTCTGTTTTTTAAAAAACAAACGAATCAACTGGAAACTGGGAGATAAGGGTGATCTGGGACAACCCCGCATTGATGGCGGAGGCCTTTGATCCACCTGGCTGAGCCTGGATCGCTTCCTCAGCAGGGCCCCGCAGTCTTCCCTCTGGAAGCTGCACCCACTGTCAAGAAGACGGCCACAGTGGCGAGGGAAGCACTCCTTGGCCAAGGGTTCTTGAGTTCCCACGCTCCCCTGCCAGAACTGCCACCCTGAGGCTGAGTGAACCCCTCCTTGAGGGCAGCACTGTGCTAGCAATGGAGGCAGACAAGGAGGACAGAATCATTCTCTAGCTTTCGAAGAAATGTCTTCAGTTCCCACGAGGAAGAAATAAATGCATAACAAGTAAAGCAACAGCACAAAGCAGCATGCGGCTGGATGTCAACTGAGTAGAAGGACAACCTGTCCTACGGTTTGGAGGGGCACGCAGACTTGGCCAGGTGATGAGGGAAGACTTGGTGGAGGAGCGGCACCTGCTCTGGACTTTAGAGGAGAGTGTGACGTGGGGCTTGTTAAACATCCGACGACCCTCATTGAAATCTCTGCCTCCTACTAGTTGTTTGGCTTTGGGGAACGTGCTTAAGCTCCCTAAGCCTCAGTTTCCTCATCTGTAAATGGGGAGCAGTGCAGGTGAAACTCCTCAGAGGCAGGAACCAGGGTGCTCCTGGAGCTCCGCCACTCACCCTCAGGCTTGCGAGGGAGCCCGCCTTCTTTGTATCTTCTGCGGCTCTGGCCTTTCCTCTCCATGGACAATTCAGTCCTTCGGCCAGGCCAGAGCTGATTCTCAAGACTCCTTACCAGCCTTCCTTTCTTCATTTTTGCCCCTCAATACCTCCTCCATATTGGTGCAGAATAAAAAAGGTGGATGAGACTTTGTAAGATGCAAACTTCATTGATATTCTTCTACTTTAATCTTTCAATGGTTCTGTCATCTTCAAAACAGACTGGAGCCCGTGGCCTCAGAGACAAGACTCTTCAGCCTCTGGCCCTCGCTCTCACCCTTGCTTGTCTCCTGCTATGTCACTCCACACACCTTTTGATCCAGTCAAGATGAACAACTTGTCACCCAAGGTGCCATGAGAGAGCCTGCCTTAGTAACTTTGCCCCTGTTGAGCCAGCTGCCCAGCTTCCAGCACCCTCTTCCCTAGCTAAATTCTTTTTCTTCAAGAATGGACTCAAATGTCACCTTCTCAGAGAAGTCCTCTGTGATTCCTTCAGTTGAGTTAATAGCTCTTCTTATAAAACTGAATATATAGCTATCAAAGCACTCACCATCGATTATAATAATAATAGTTAACATTTATTGAGTACTGGCTATGTTGCTAAAAGGTTCAATGGATTTTATAGTCATTAAAACTCATTTAATTCTCATTTCATCACAGATAAGATACAACTGATTGCAAGGACCATTATTTTACGTACCAACTAAACTGCCAATTTAACTGTAGCACACCATTAGGAGAGACATCCTTATTTTAAAGATTTCAAAGTGTGGGGAAAAAAAGTGCCTCTGAATCATTGAAATAGAGTATTATTATTACAAAAATAAGAAAACCAAGGTACAGAAAAATTTAGTGACAGACCCAAGGTCACAGAGCAAGTATGTGGAGGATCTGGGATCCATGCTCTTAACCACTTCTCAGGACTTGCTTCCAGTTTATTTGTCTATGTTCCTGCTACCTAAAGACACACCCACAAGGGCTGAGATAGAATTTTGTTTATTTTCACGTCTCCAGCATTTAAGCATAAAGGCAGCACTCAAGAAATATTTGTGGAATGAAAGAATTTAAGTCTCCAAGTAATTTTTATCCACTTAATTTTTTTCCATTGGATGAAAAATGAGAGACTTTAAAGAGTTTTATTTTAAAAAAACAGATTAAATTCACCAATTTCCAACTTCAGCTAACACATCACATTTAGATTAGTCTAAATATGATGAATCTAAATCATAATTTAGTCAAAATTATTCCCGACACAACATAAACAATGAACCATAACATGTCAGTAGATAAATGTATCTCCAGAGACACTTTTCAACTATACAGCATCTATTACCAGGAACAGGTAAGTCAGGGAGGCTGGGGAAGCTGCAGTGCTCCAAATAGTTTCATCCTTAGAGAAGGTATGATCATTACTTTGTAGTCTTCTAGTTTGTAAAGCTACAAATTTTGAAGTGCAGGTTTAGCCTACCCTAGCAGAATAATAACACTGCTAGGGATGTAGGGGTTAGATTTTTAAATGCAATTGAATCTGGCCGAGAAACACTAAGGTGACATGGAGAAAGATCCAAGAGAGAAGAAAATCCTACAAATCTTGGGAAATACATCTTTAATACCTTCAACAATCCAAACAAGAGTACTACTCCCAAGAGTAATAGGCTCTCACAGTGCTCAGCAGAAACTGGGAATGTAGAAACGACGAACACAGGCAGGGACAGCACTATTGAAAACAAGACTCACCAAACTTCCATCAGGTGGATGTGGTGAGGTGGGTGGGAAAAAAATGGGGTTAGGAAAGATTGACCATTTGTTTGCCTGGGGCACTAAAGAAATTATCCTCTACTATCTCCTCAGTATTCTCCACAAACATCCCAAATTCAGCTCATGCACTTTGTCCTAAACTGACCTGCCCCACACTTCAAAGTTTTACCTGATATTCAAGGCTTCACTGAGTGCCCCCAACTACTACAGCTTCCACTAATCTATTTCTCTGGGACCATACTGAACTGAACGTCAGCACTTCACAGTTTAGCATACTGTTTTTTCTGATAATTGCCTCATCAATTTTTAATCTATTTTTCTCAACTAAGCAGTAAGATCCTTGAGGAACAGGAGCATATTTGATGTCACTTGTCGTTACACAGTGCTTGGCATATACAGATGCTCAACAAACAGTAGCTGACCATACAATTAAACTCAGGTGGTGCCTGAGTCCACACCAACTCTTATACGCTTGGTTTATCTTTCCTCGATATATTTCAGTAATGATGACTCAAGTTTGATGCAGAAATAAAGTGACTAGAGAAGACCAAAAAGGGGAGGTGATAGGAAGAATAATGGCCCCAAAGATATTCATGTCCTAATCCCCAGGACCCAGGAGTATGTTACCTTACATGGCAAATGGGATTTTGCAGGTGTGAAATAGGGAGATTGTCCTGGACTATCTGGATGAACCCAATGTAACCACAAGTGTCCTTAGAAATGGAAGAGGCACATAAGGAGGTCAGGGTGACGTGCTGTGCAGACTCGACCAGCTCGTGCCGGCTGTGATGGAGAAAGGGGCCACAAGTCAAGGAAGGTGGTTGCCTCTAGAGGCTAGAAAAAGGCTAGGAAACAGATTCTCTAGAGACCACAGGAAGGAATGCACCTTGCAGACACCTTGAGTTTAGCCTGGGGAGACCCTTATCAGACTCCGCCAGGGTCTGAATGTTTGTATGCCCCCAGAATTCAAATACTGAAACCCTGACCATCAAAGGTTAGGTATGGCCTCTTGGAGGTGCTAAGTCATGAGGGTGTAAGGACATCAAGTCATGAGTCATAAGGATTAACGCCTTATAAAAGAGGCTGCAAAGAGCTCCCAAGCGCCTTCCACCATGTGAGGACACAAGAAGTCTGTCACCTGGACGAGGACTGTCACCTGCCCGTGCTGGCACCCAGCTCTCAGACTTCCACCCTCCAGAACTATCAGCGATAAACTACTGCTGTTTATCAGCCAGACAGTCTGTGGGATTTTGTTACAGCCCCAAATGGCCCACGACAGACTCCTAACCTACATCACTGTTAAGATGTTAAATGTGTTGTTTTACGTCTCAAAGTCAGTGGTAACGTTACTGCAGCAATAGAAAACTAATACAGGGGATTTTTGATACTAATGGTTTAATGGGATTTTCAAAGTATGTCAGTATTTCAAATGATTTGTGACTCATGAGCAGACAGAGCTATAAGTAAGAAGAATCAAGCTACAATGACAAAACAACTCTTATGAGGTACTTTTAAAAGCTGTTTTTCATTTATATGATGTAATTTTAACCTTTGTGTTCCATTATCCTAGCTGTTGCTGAATATGTCTATTGCACTTACAATTTTCAGAATGCTCCCCAAACTCTTGCATGTCTTGCTGAGATGTACAAATACCTAAAGCTACAAGTGTAATAGTTACGTTCATTACAACTCAAGAAACGGGGACTATACCAATTTTACATGTCATTTATCTTATGGTAGCTGCTGAAGAAAAAGCTGACTTAAAAAAACTACCTAAAGGATGGTTTCTTTTAATTATATGTACACAAATACTCAAGAATTTAGAGCAAATAAAGACAATTTAGTGTAATTTCAATCTGAGTCCCTAATCATTTAGAAGTCTGTAAAATGGTGGCAGAATAAAGCAGAAAAATGAATTTTGATCGTGTGACAAGTAAAAATGTGAACACAATTCAATTACCAAACCTCAAAGCAGGGTGATTAACGAAACAGCAATTTCTTTCCATCCAAAGGCTAAGGGGGCATCTTAACAATTCTCCGCGTCAGATCACAGTATCCCAACAGCTTTGTGTCCCCAAATATCGCTGCATGGTTGAGGGCAGTTATCACGGGACTGAGGGCAGAGATGCCATATTGTGTCCTGAAGCCCTGGGCAAGCCCTTCATAAGCCTTTCCCAAAAAAGTTGATTCTATCTGCTGTGAGGTAAACTCAGAGGAAATACTGTATCCACGTTATCATACTTACTTTTTGAACCCAGACGATGAATTTCCTCCACTAAGAGGTTAACCTCATGATCCACATTCATTGCTGCCTGAGGGAGAAAAAAGTAAGCTTGTATTATTACCATTTCTACAGTCCATTAACCACATCTTACCAAATCCAAACTATTGTCTTTTTTTTCCTGTAGCATTTGGCACTTTTAATTTACCACGACCCACTTCCTAAAAATACTTGTGTGATGCACATGGCACTAGAGTACCTCCATTTTCCCTCTATCTTTACAACCTCCCCTTGGGGCTGATCCCACTCTTACTCTACACACTTGATTTGTGACCAGGGAACCAGGCAAAGAAAGGGTTACTGAGGATCTGATCAATAACTAACACCATCTGTCAAATGTTTTCCAGACAGGAAGAAACTGTGTTCTGTTTTGCAGAAATCGCTGTCCCCGTTGTGCAGAGAAACTCACACATCTGCAGCAAGACCCCAGCAAAATGTTCCAGCTCCAAGTGTCCGAAAGTTACCTTAAACTCATCAGCATCTTAAATTCTCCTCTGGAAGGGTCCAAGCAGCCGTTCTCAGATCATGCGACCTGCTACGTATGTACCCTGAACAGGCACAGGTGTTACACAGCTGTTACAAATAAACCTGTTAGCCTCTGCTCTCTTGTGTATAAAGTCTCCACTTGCACTGAACTCAGAGCGACACTGCTTTGGGAAATAGCCCAGGTGTTCTCCATGGCTTGTGCATCCAATAAACCTGTTTCTTCACCTGCTTCTGCCTTGGTTGTGCTTTTCACCTCTGCACTCACCAACAAGCAAACCCAATGACTTCAGTTTCAGACTGGGGAGAATGCAGCCATTTTCCTTGCACCCACCGTTAACCCTAAGCCCATCCTCTTCCTGGTGCTCTGCTCACCAATAAAAACACATTGGTGAGTGACACAGGACATGCCCTCAGGGAACTCTCAGTCCAGAAGCAGAGAAAGGCCTGGAATGAATCGCTATGTGACAGCACTCTGTGAGTGGTGGGTCCAAGGCTTTATGGGAGCAGAAAGGAGGAAGCCACAGGAGGGTTTGTGGGGGTCACCGGGGAGGAGCGGACCAGGCAGACAGCTGGGAAATGGTGTTCTGCGCACAGGGAGGAGCAGACGCAGAAGCGCGGAAGCAAAGGAGTCAGCGCAGCACACTTGGGGCGGGCGCTGAGCTAGGAGTGGGGCACCCAGACAAACCGACCCCTCCCTCCCGTCCAGCAGCCTGCAGTCCAGTGGGGAAGGCAGAGACATAGGAAGGGAATTTTAACACCAAGGTCAGTGCACTGATGACTTCTGAGTCACACGCAGGGGCACTGTGCCCATCCATGGGCAGTGTCCAGTACAACCTGACTGCAGTGGAGTACTCATGGTGAAGACCATTCATCTTCAGATGAGGAGTCCAGGACTAAGGGGAGCTGGGAGACCCACCTTGGCTCACCACACGCCCCAAGGGCTGGGTTCTGCACAGTTCCAGCCTTCTCCACTCCACCCCCTTCGTCTCCCAGCTGCAACTGCATGGGGCTTCATTTTATTCCTCCAATGCCCCTTGCTCTCTCACCTCCAGCCTTCTTCACACATACTGCTTCTTTGACCCAGACTATCACTATTCCTCTTTCTTGAGACTAACTCCCAGACATCAAGTCCCAGCTTAGATATGACTTCCTCCAGGAAGCCTTCCCTGACATGCTGGAGTGGGAGAGCGCCCCTACTGTGGGCTCCCAGAGCACTGTGAACCTTCTTCATTTCCCTGGATTGGAATTACCAATTTCTTAGCTTCTACCACGAGACAGTGAGCTCCTTGATGCAGGGATCTGACTGGAATGCTCACTGCTGGATTCACATCTGGCACCAGGAATAGAGGTGCAATAAATATTGGCTTCACTGAAAGACAAGCACACGCATGAGAGAGCATGAAGCACAGCTGCGGGGCTGTCGCCACAGACCTGCTGATCCCGGTGGAGAGGAGAGAGGAGTCAGAGACAGAAGCAGGAAGGCAAAGGAGCCTGGCAAACACCCACCGGAAGCGAGAGGAGAGAAATACCAGCCAGAAACAGGAAAGAGTAGGTGGAGGTGGATGAGAAAGCTCCAACCATGCTGGGTCACAGAAGTAAAGGAAGAAGTGTTTCCGTAAGAAGGCAGTAATTCACAGTGAAAACAACAGGGGGTCAGAAAATAGGAACGACTAGGCAGAACATGCATCAGTTTAATCTGTTTTCAAATCATAAGTTTTCCAAATCACATGAGGGACTAAAACAGTCAAGTTGTGTACATGGATGGTTTACTTTGGGGTGACGATTTGGAAGAGACAACTTCATCCAGATGATTAACGAATTCCTGGTAGCTTTTAAAAACGAGACTGACATCTATGTTTAAATGACATTGATTGGGACACCAGATTTTCTATCAGCTAATAATCAAAACCGCCACTGCCATCTGCTACATGATTTGTGTGAATATTATAATTTAAGAAGCTTGTATTACAATAAAATGCAATATCTTACGTTAATACATCCACATAAAACACACTATCAAACACACTATCAAAACTTTTTAGTGTTCAAATATTGGAAACTTTGTGTTGGTGAAATTGTAGCATTATATTCAAGATATCGTTTAAGAGAGACGCTAAAAAGCTAAAATATACCCAGAGGACACAACTGAAAAACACGCCATGAGAATAACGGTAGAAAAAACCTGTTAATGGAGAGTGGGGGGCAGCTGTCACTTTTGCACACCTAGCACCCCTTGCCCATCCTGGCACCAGCAGTCTAATTTTTGTTTGAATAAAGCATTTCCTTCCTCACTCTAGACCCATGTAACTCGGGGAGAGCCTCACCCTGGACTCCAGGAGGGGTTCAGAGCCAGAAAAACTGGTTTGGGGCATAAGGTAGGTGAACAATGGGTTCAGCCCACGGATTGTGCCGGATTGTGCCGGAACTACGACTCTCCTCCTGGGTCCTGAGCCGTTTACAGCCCTGATGTAAATACGGCTACCATGTGGAAAGAGCCTGCCATGAAGAAAGCCAACACAAAGGAAAGTCCAGCCACATAACAACGACTGAGCCTGTCCCTGACCCTGGGCTTCCAGTTCCAAGAATCAATCTATCTTTCCTGGTTCTGCTTGTGCTGGATTGACTGGGTTTCTGTCACTTGCACTCTAAAGAATCTCGACCCATTAAGTTAGCCTAGAGAAGACCTGGCACTATGTTTTTAAAATTAAAACTCTTTTTACATACTTCTGTGAATAGTCTCTTTTTGAGTTGCTTGATTGGGCAGGACGGGCAGATGTAATAGAAAGGCAGATTTGGGAGCTTTATAATAAAAAATTTCTCTACCAAAACTGCCTAACAATGAATAAAGTTTGCACCCTGTGACTGGAAACATCCATGGGGAAGTAGTACGATTCTGTGAGGCTGATGAGGTAGCAGCCCACACTGGACAGAGAGAGAATGAAAGGTCCCAGGGACTCCATCCTCTCCAGTTCTCAGATTCTGATTTCCTCCCACCCTGAAAACATCTCTCTTGAACATGGCTCTCCTCTCCTTCCACCTGTAGCACACTTGAGACACGGCTGTCCTTTAACAGAGACTCAGAGGAAACTCCACTGTTATGCAGAATGGGACTACCTGCCCCACTTTAAGCAGATGTATGTTCATCCAATTTTACGAAGGGAAGGCAACCAGCATTTCTTTATAATTAATTACACATGAGGTTCCTTAGCTATTTTGATTAATGTAATCCTAAGCATCTTGCAAACTATTTTTTATCCCCATTCTATGGATGATGAAACTGGCTCAGAGGGACGCCCACAATTAAATGCTGTTTTTACCACATAATTCTGGCTTTTTCTTCTCCTTTTTTCTTTTGGTGGCTATTATGCAAACTGCACTAAATGTAATAGTGAGTTGTTTTGTATGAAATTTTACACGCTGGTTTACTAAGGCAGAATACTTATAAAGCAAAAAGGCTCCCAGCCTAGTCCCTAACAAGTAGGAAAATAACAGGCTTAGAAACGATTGCTAGCATACATCATTTGGCATGATTTATTTATTTTATTATTTAGTGGGAAAATGGGGAAAATACTCATTGTTATGGGAAGGCCCAGGACACTTTATAAGGACAGAAGCCTGGGACTAGAGTGACAGCAACATCAAGAACAATGAAGAGAGGCCATAAGCAGAGCAAGTCTAAGGGGAAGAAAGAGCTCATCAACAGGGGGCTCCGGGGAAGGCGCCGACAGACGCTCCGGGCCCTCTGCCTGTGACAATCTCATTAGGCACGGCGCATTGGAATCAGGAGGAAAGCGAATGCCGGAGGGTCGGGGCATATGCTGAAATGCTCCACCATCAATATGCGCTGAAGAACCTATTTAAGGACACCCCTATCGTTTTTTTTTGTTAAAGTTTGGAGGCATTACATAGAGATTTTCTAATGTTCAAAGAACAAAGCCTCTGGAGCGGGGACGTCCGGGAGCAGCAGCGAGCTCTACCTACCATGGGGGCCACCTTTCCCAGCTCGCCTCCGCGTCCCTGACCAGCAGCTGGAGCCAGTCAAAGATGACCCGGCTCCTTCCTGCTTCCTCGCCGGCGCGCACACACTCCATATTTGGTCATCCTGGCTCCAAGTTGGGGAGCTTTCCCGGAAGGGGTCCCGGGACCCTGTCCCCCGCAGGTCACACGGTCACCCCCGCCCCGGTGCAGAGTTGGGGAGCGCAGGGCTCGGTCCCCGTTCCGGGCGGCACAGCGGACCCGGGGTGGTCTCCCGGGAAGGCCCGCGTCCCGGAAGCCTTTGTCTGGGCAACTCCCGCCTCCGTGCTCCCCGAGGCCCTTGCAAGCCAGCGCGCCGCCAGGCGAGCGCCCGAACCGGCCGCAGAAACAGACCCGGCCAGGGGCTCCGCGAGCCCCTCGGGTGCTCTCACCACCATGCACCACCATGCACCCCAGGCGCACCCTGGAGCGCGCAGCGCCGCGCCCAACGCCCGCGCTGCAAAAGGCGTCCCTCAACGCTTCGGGGGCTCTCCCCTCACCCCAGCCCTTCCCTGCCTAGCCTTGCTGCATCGGCTCCCGAGCCAAGTGCAGAGCGGACACGCTGCCCCGCTTAAAAACGGTGACATCTCTGCTCGCTTCCCGGTCTGCCCCCGGCCGGCTACGGTCACGTGAGCCGAGCGCCGAAGCCCGCCGGCGAGGGGCAGCAGGGTGCACGCCGCTCCTCGGGCGCCGTCTCCGCCCAGGTCTGGCGGTGCTGAGCTGAGCCCGCTCTGGGGACCCGGGTCCCAGCCCACGATTCCCCTGGCTGCTGCGCCTTCGCCGGGTACCCGGGTCCATCCTTTACACGTGGCCACATCTTCCCCGGGGACTCGCTCACCTCTCCGCCTCCTTTTATTTTTTGATGAAAAACTGGGGTACGTCGGTCCGGACCTGGCTATCTTCTCCAACGCACTGGAGAGGAAGAGGCTGAGGAAGGAAGTGACAAAGAGAAGGGCTGGTGAGCCGGGCGAGGAGGAGGAGGAGCAGGGTGGGGGTGGGGGACTAAGTTTCTGCGCTCAGGAAAGGGGCCGCCCACACTCCAGGAAAAAGCCTCTGAGCAGGAGACTCAGGAGAGGAATCGCCGCACCATGGGGCAGACTCCAGACAGGTGTGCGGCGCTCGAGACTTCTGGGAAAACGGACCCAGAGGTGCCATTCGCCACCTTTCTTTCGCTCTCCTCAGAGCCAGTGATCCCCAACCCCGCATCTGGTCCTGGGCATTGATATATTGCCAAGATTTCTCTCTTAACATATGAGATAAAGCGCCCCCAAAGTGCTGAATGTTGAGGGGTCCTAGGAGGAACGTGACATTGTTCTGTATGCCAGGAGCAGGCGCCGCCAGAAAACTGCCACTGATGACAGCAGGATGGTTCCATTTGCAAAGCAAAACGCATTCTTGAACATCGATTTGTCTTACTGCAGAGAAACGTTACTGGGGTAAAGCTAGTTTTTTTATCCTGGGTCAATATAGGTTTCTTCCCATTTTTATTCATTATTTCCTATGTTTGCATGATTCAATCGATTCGTACTCCCTTTATTTCAGTCACTGTTGTTTTCATCTGTGTGTGTGTGTGTGTGTGTGTGTGCGCGCGCACGCGCACGCGCGATATGCTTGCTATACCTAGAGTCCCTTTGGAAAGGAACCCGAGGCCCTGCTGATGAAACCGGCAAACAGCCATTGATGATTAGGTAGTAGCTAAAGTTTTCTTTTCCTTTTTGCAATTACTGATTACAGTTTTTAGCTGTTCCCCTGCCCATTGTTGCCTGTGCTGCTTAGGCAATATGGTATCTGATTCCCACTCGGTTCCCATAGATAACATCTCCCTGGAGCCTGGGTCACCATGGGAATGGGTGGGTGAGCTGTTTTTCAGGAATTAGGACCCCTGTGTCCACTCTAGGCCCCGTTGAGACTGCCAACTCATCATCCAGGCTGTGCGGATGTCCCATAAGCAACCTTTTGATGTCAAGAGGCTAAGAACTCCACCCTCAGATCATGCTAACACAGCCATTTTGTGAGCATGGGTCCCATGAAGAGGCATGAAGTCTGACTACACTTGCACAGATCGTCAATTACCCGACCTCTCCTCACCTCCAGTCATCTATCTCCAGGCTTAAGACCACCTTGTCCTTTGCCCCGTAAATATCCCTGAGTCCCCATTTTCTGGGAGGCAGATTTGAGATTCATTCTCCCGTTTCCTCACTTGGCTGCCCTGTGATTAAACCCTCTCTCTGTGGCAATTTCGTCATCTCGGTGTCTGGCTTTCTGGGTGACGGGCGAAAATGAACCTGATTCAGTGGTAACGCTGAGAGGAATGACCCAAACTATTCCTGGGGCAAAAGTTGCACAAATAACTACTCAAAAGCTCCCCTCCCCCAGAGCTGATTGGATTGAGTGATCATATGACCCAAGAGCACACGGGCCCTAAACTGGCCGTCGTCCTAGGAGGTGACCTGGAACAAACAGTCCTCACCACGCAGAGCCTCTGGTCATTAGGCAAGCCAATCAGATTCTCCCTTGGAAGTTGAAAGTGGAGAAAACAGAGAATGTGCTGTCTGACAGAAAGGCTGAGGCCGAGAGAGGGCTTTAGGCAGAGGCAGAGAAGTGGGCTTCCAGAGAGCAAAACGCTTCAGAAAGCAGACGGGAGCAGGAAGTAGGAGGCGGATGCAGGCAGAGGTGGTGGGAGCAGAGTCCAAGGGAAGCTGATGGAGTAATGGCCTCAAAGACCTGCTCCCTGGGGAGATGATTGTCCCAGTCCCTTGGGCTACACTGCATCCGTCTGCTCCCAAACCATGTTCTAGCTACCCTTTCACAGTCAACACCTCTCACTTTGGGTGTGACCCTGAGTGAACCTCTCTTCCCTGTCAGCAAAAGATTACTCTTCAACAAAGGTCGGATTCGGCCCAGGTTTCTCATGTCAGATGAGGGTTAAGGTGACTCCAACATCCTTTGAGGCCGATTTTTTTTCTCACAAAGAAAGCTGAGATGTTTACTTTATATCTTTCAAAGTCTACTTAATGCAGAATCTATAGTTCAAGAAAAGTGTCACATTTAGCAATCCTCCAAGGGGGAGCTGGCTTTTTGGCCTGTGGCATGATGACAATTCTTCATTCAGATGATATCCAGTGAAAGGAATAATCAGTCTGTGGTGGCCACTTCTGTTATGGTTGAGTAATTTGTGTTTCACATCACTCTACCACGAGCAAAAAAAGGAGTAGGTGGCTTCACCAATGCAAGTGAAAGTCCCTGTGATATAACAATGGACTCACTCTTTAAAAATACTTTATACATGTCGATGCAAAATAACCAATGATCGTTCAACAGATATGAGAGATATGTGAGTTTTACTTGAGCCAAGGTGAGGATTATAATCCTGTCAGGACTTTTCCAGAAAGGAAGAAAGTGTTCTGGAGAATCATGGTTTTCAGTGCAGGCATAACTTTTTAGAACAAAGAACATACATTAAACACACCCAGGATACATATTCATCAAAGTTTCAAAGAGGGGTTCACTTGCAAATTAGCAGGTCAACATGACCCTGATGTCAGGAAAGGGACTAATTCAGGTAGCGTTATCAGTAGGGTGAAGGAGGGGCAGTTTGCATTCTTATCTTGAGAGCGTGCTCTTTACTTTAATGGGTAAGCAGATGGACAAAGTGTGTCTGACGGGCCCTAAGGCAGGCTTCTTTAGTTCGAGCCCAATCAGTTTTGAGCGCAAGTAGTTGCCCGTATCCCTCAATGTGTGAAAGTCTCTCATACCTATGCTGCAGTAAGTGTTACCTAACTTCATGTTAATCTGTGAGGAATTACAATTCAAGAAAGTTGTTTTGATGAAATATTGAAAATTTTACCAATTAGAACTTTTCATGCCCAATTCCTACTCTTTGTGTTTCCATACAGACTTTTGCCATCTTTTCTTGTTATCTCAGGAATATTATCATCAGGCAGCTAAACACTGTGGACTCAACCTAAAAATCAAAAAATAAAGTTTATCAAACAGTTAAGAAGTATTCATTACCCATGAAGCATGTAACAGGAACAGAGTGCCAGTGTTGTAGGGCACAGAGTAGCCTACAGCATGAGCTTTGTCAGAAAGAACTTTAGGGAGTGTCCATATAAAATATGAAGACAATCTTTATCCATTTATTTAATTTCATAGTATAGACCAGCACTGTCTAATAGAATTATAATTGTGAGCCAAGTATGTAGTTTAAAATTTTCTAGTACCCGCATTAAAAACATGTGAGAGCTGGCCCTGGGGCCTAGTGGTTAAGTTTGGCGCACTCCACCTCTGTGGCCTGGGTTCAGTTCCTGGGCACAGACCTATACCACTCATCTGTCAGTGAGTGGCCATGCTGTGGTGGTAACTCACATACAAGAAGAAGACGATTGGCAGCAGATGCTAACTCAGAGCAAATCTTCCTCAGCTAAAAAGCAAAACAAAACATGATATTAATTTTAATAATGTCTTATTTAACCCACTATATCCAAAATACTATCATTACAACTGTAATGGATATTTAAAAATTATTGAGATATTATCCATTCTTTGTTTTGTTCTATGTCTTTGAAGTCTTTTTAGTATTTTACACTTATAGCACATTTCAGGTGCTCAATAGCGTTATTTGATTAGTGATTACTGTATTGGTCAGTGTAGCTATCGACAATTCCAGAATAAAGCATGACATATAGGCTAATAATTTTACCTGAGAAATTACATGTTCCTGGAATGAAAAAAATTATATTTAAAGGTTCATGGAAAATTGAGGTATTCCTTTAAAAATATAATTGTCTATTTTGTAATGAATAGAAAAAAATCCTTGTAAAGGAGTTCAAGAACAGCAATTCTATCCTGAGTATATACCCAACAGAAAAGGTACATAGATTCACCAAGAGACAGGTATGGGAGTATTCATGGCAGCAGTGTTCATAATATTTCTAAACTAGAGCTACCCGAATGCCCAGTAACATTTGAGTGGTTAATCAATTGTGGCATATTTATATAAAGGGAAATCATCCACCAAGAAGAAGAAACAGCCAACAACTACATGCGGTGATACGAATAAATCCCACAAATACGCTTGAGTGAAATGAGCCTATCATTCCTTTCACATGAAGTGTTCAAAGCAGGCAAAACTAATCGTGGTGTCAGAGTTGGGGCAGTGGTGATCCTTGTTGGGTTGGGGGCTTTAGTGACTGAGACGAGGCCTGAAGTGGAGACTTACAGGGTGCTGATGATGCTATGCTTCTTGATCTGCATACTGGTTAAAGAGGTGTTTTGTTTTGAGAATTCGTTAAGCTGTACACTTAAGATAAACTTTTTTCCTGTGGCTATGTTCTTTTTTAATAAAACATTTTTTGAAAAATAAAGAATAGAGGATCTTGACCAAACAAGGCTTATTCCAGGAATGTAAGGATTATTTGACATTAGGAAACTTAATAATCCCCTATACCCAATAATCTCTAATTTTTTTTCTGCTTTATCTCCCCAAACTCCCCCTGGTCCATAGTTGTATATCTTAGTTGCAGGTCCTTCTAGTTGTGGCATGTGGGATGCTGCCTCAACGTGGCGTGACGAGAGGTGCCATGTCTGCGCTCAGGATCCAAACTGGTGAAACCCCGGGTTGCCACAGTGGAGCTTGCGGACTTAATCACTTGGCCACCGGCTGGCCCCTCTAATTTTTATCTTATTCATTAAAATGAGATTTCTATTTGGACCTGTCGTTCTAGTTCAGACTACCATCACCTTGTGCTCATGTTAATGTTGACTGACAGTCAACATGAGATGACAGTCAGACATGCAACATGACACGCAACATGACAATCAGACATGCAACATGACAGCCAGACATGCAATGATGATTGCATGTCTTAGGCACTTCTTCTTGATCCAGTTGTAGCAGTGTTTGAGTGCTTTGGGTGACACAAGGAAATAAAAGTAAAATCTGTGCCCTCAAGAAATAATGGAGGGGGCCAGCCCCGTGGCCCAGTGGTTAAGTCTGCATGCTCCGCTTTGGTAGCCCAGGGTTCAGATCCTGGGTGCGGACATGGCACCACTCATTAGGCCATGTTGAGATGGCATCCCACATGCCACAACTAGAAGGACCCACAACTAAAATAAGTACATACTGGGGGGATTTGGGGAGAAGAAAGCAGGAAAAACAAGACTGGCAACAGTTGTTAACTCAGGTGCCAATCTTTAAAAAAAAAAAAAGAAAGAAAGAATGGAAAAAAGACTATATACCATGAGCAAGTGGGATTTATTCCAGGAATGCAAAGTTGGTCCAACCCTGGAAATTAATCAATATGATACAGTATTTTAATAGGATAAAGGGGAGAATTCACATGATCATCACAATACATGCAGAAAAAGCATTTGACAAAATACAGTACCTTTTCATAATGAAAAGACTCAATAAACTTAGAAGGGAATTTCCTCAACCTAAGAAAGGGCATCTACAAAAACTTCATAGCTAGCATCATACTTAACAGTGAAAGACTGAAAGTGTTTACCCTAAGATCAGGAAGAAGACAAGGATGTCTACTAAAGAATCCACAAAAAAGCTATTACAGACAATAAACCAATTCAGCAACATCGCAGGATATAGTATCAATGTATACAAATCAGTTGTATTTGTATATACTAGCAATGAACAATCTGAAAATGAAACTAAGAAATCAATTCTGTTTACAATAACATCCATAGAATAAAATACTTACGAATAAGTTTAACTAAAGGAGTGCAAAACTTGTATACTTTTACAAAATGTTGAAAAGAAATTTTTGTAAACCTAAATAAGTGGCAAGACACCCTGTGTGTATAGATTGGAAGACCTAATATTGTGAAGATAACAATACTTCTCCAAGTGATCTACAGATTCAACGCAATTCCTATCAAAATTTTAACACCCTTTTTTTTGCAGAAATTGACAAGCTGATTCTAAAGTTTACATGGAAATGAAAGGTATGCAGAAAAGACAAAACAATCTTGAAAAAGAAGAACAAAGTTGGAGGACTCATATACCCTGATTTCAAAGTTTACCGCAAAGCTACAGTAAGTGGCACTGGCATAAGGAGTGGCATATAGAAAATGGAATAGAATTGAGACATCAGTAATAAACCCATTCACCCATGGTCAACTGATTTTTGATAAGGGTGCCAAGACCATTCAATGGGGAAAGAATGATATATTCAACAAATGGTGCTGAGACACTGGATATCCACAAGGAGAGGAATTAATTGGATTCCTATC